CGTACAAAATTTAATGCAAATCCGTTCAGTCGTTTCCGCGTGATGATTTCCCAAACATCCAAACATACAAACTTTCACATTTATAATATTAGTAAGATATATGACTCACAAACGCCTCTTTAGGCAGTCGGAACTTTTTAATAAATCTGTAAACTGCTCATGCGGAGCATTCTCTTGCGCTCACCAACACAGCCACAGATTTACTTTTGCCGACCCCTGATCTAGGCGCACATTATACATAAGCTGCATTTTTTTGTAAGCGAGGGACAAAATAATGCTCAACACGGGTAAAATTTCCTCTTAGCTAGTTAAGCAACCCTGCTGGTAGCTGGCAAGAAGCATGTGATTAGTTCAACGGGATTTAGACACAAAAAATAATAGAAATTAGTAATTATGCGAGGTATTTGCGTAATATATATGTACTTATTTAAAATATAAATCATTATATACGAAAACAAAAATTTTCCTCTCCACTTTCCCATTAACAATTCACAATATAGCAGTTTTTTCACTTAAGAACACTACTCTTCAGGTCGCGTATTTTTTACCGACCTGGCTGAACTCGGATAAATAGCCGAGTTTGTGTTGTTGCTTTGCGTGTATTTCATCATTTAAGCGAGTGTTCTTTTGTAGCTCGGTTGCAAAAGAATGTACCTATAGTTGTTATTCCATTTCATATGCAAGGGTAAGCATTTGTGTGCGTGTGTGCTCATATGTTAACCGATATGTAAATTTATGCGCCCAAATTAATTTTATACATTTATTTATCATATTTTAAACGTAGAAAATCAATCGAAAAAATGTTTAATTAATCGCGCGAAATTGGAATTTTGTTACATAGCGCCTGGGTAAAAGCATAGTCAAATATAATTTTTTCACTATGGGTAAAAGATTGCCGTATGTTACTTTCGGCAGGTTTTGGGAAATCGATGTTAAAGATTCAGTCACAATTTCTCAAGAGCTGTACGTTTTTACCAAAACTTCGTGCTTAATTGAACATACTATCTAAAGTATAAAACCACATTTTCTTAAATTTTCAGTAACTCATTTAGCTTTTACAGCCACTTTTTTATAAAATAATTTTGTCGTATGTTACATTTTCACGTTTAACGCTAGCCAGCGGTATGACATACTATAATTGTTGAAATTATTTTCTGCTCGTACGACAAAAATGTATTCTAATACACCTGAGATATAAATTAATGAATAAAAATCAACAAAATATTAAACGATTTGTCAATAAGTGTTGCCGTAGCACATGGGACTATCCATTGTATAGGATTGGTGTGATTTTGTCGTATGTACCATACAATTTGTCACATAAAACAATATTTTAACAAGTAATCAATTTCATCAAACTGTATGAAAATTTTGTCGTATGTGACATTTTTCGTCACATATAACAAAATGTTGACCGAGTCGCTTGCGAACTTGCAAATACGACAAAATTATACTCAATATCTCGGAAACTACAGGAGGTATCCAAAAACTGATAACACCAATCGAAAAATCTTATTTAATAAAATACAACTGCATCCTTACCTAAAAATCGTCAAAATGACGCTTACGACAATATTTTACCCAGACGACGTAATGGATTCGAAACGACAGATTTAACGCTGCTAAGAAAGTTCTGTGGTGTAGTGGTAAGCAGTGCGCGCACCTGGGTTCAAGCCTTGGTCAAAGCAACATCGCAAAAAAATATAGAAAAAAGGGTTTTTCTTGACAGCGGTCGTCCCTCGGCAGGCAATGGCAAACCTCCGAGTGCATTTCTGCCATAATAACAGCTTCTCATAAAAATACAATCGCCGTTCGGAGTCGGCGTAAAACCGTAGGTCCCTCCGCTTTGTGTGACAACATCAAGGCGCACGCCACAAGTCGGAGGAGAAGATTGGCCAAACACTAACATATGTGTAAGCGCCAATCTATTATTATTATTATTAAGAAAGTTCTCAGAGGGGAGGTTGGAACTCACAGCATTTTGTTGACGGTGTCAGTAATCTCCAAATATCAGGGCTTGATTATCTTGAGGGCCCTGGTAAAATAGCATACTTACGTAGGACTTACTTGAATCTTTAATAATTTGTGTTGCAAAAAAAAACATCAGTAAGATTAAAAAACGGTTTTGTTTAATAAGTGTAGTTGTAATAATTGTAATAAATGAGTTTGATAATAAATATAGAGCAATAAGACTAAGAGTATTTTCAATTATGTATATAAAAACTAAATAATTCAGGAATCACTTTTTTATACATACATACATCTGTATGTATACATAAATATAAATATTAACTTGTTTGATCGACGATTTTGAGTTCTGCTAAATACCAAGTAAATGTTGGAAATTCTTTTATGCTATATATGTCATACTTAATGGAGTTTATACCATCCATTTCCATCTTGCTAATTCCGTTTACGAGATTCTCATATCTGGAAAAGAAATATTTAAAAAATATAAATCAGGATGCTTAACAAATTTGTCAGCTCATTCACAATAAATATATTAAGCAAAAGAAAATTAAAACACTGATGGACATGCCTCAACACTATTGTATTTAAAGTATATTTTTGGATACTGAATATCCAAATACACCTGGCCCCATAAAAAATTAAATAGATTTTAAAAGCGAAAACAAACAAGTAAAAAGTCGGGCGAAACCGAACATTAAATACGTGCGTCCGTGTTAAATATAAAGCTCGGAACACTTTGACGACAGCAAGCGACAAGCAGCATCTGTCAAATTTTAAATACACACGTTCTTACGGACACAATTATTTTGACGACAGCACGACATCTTGGCTGCAGGACTGCAATTGTCGACGTCGCCAAATTAAATCTATTTCTAATTTTGCCGGCGACAATGAGTTGATGTAGTGCTGCAAAATTAAATTGTCGCAAAATTAATCACATATTCTTGATTGTTCATGTTTTTCTTATTTACTTAAATAAAAATACACAATTTGTGAAATAAATATACCAAAATGTCAAACTTTAAAATCAGCTATTTGCTATGTCGCTGAGGTCTTCAAAATGTTTAAGAAGCTGGCTTCAAGGCGACATTTGTCGACAAAATGATGTCGCTGTCGATACGTCGTGAAGTTGCAGTCGTCAAAGTGTTCCGAGCTTAAGGGGAATTCGCTCTTCTAATGTGTATTCGTTGTATGTTGTGTAATCGTAACTGCATGAGCGTGTGATTTGTTGTTGCTAGCGGTACATCAAATACACATGCAACAACAACCACACGCTCGTCCAGTTACACTTACACAGAAGCGCGAATACCACTGTAGTTTTTTCACTGTTCCGAAAAATACAGTTACATGGTAAGCATGGATGGTTTTTTCAAAAATGAGATAAAGTTATTGGGCGTAACTGTAGTCCGATTTCAAGAATTTTCAACGTCTTGCTTTTACATGTCAGGTACAATAACTGTGTGTCAAGTACAATAATGGTTACCGAGTTAAAATATGTAGTCATAAGTGGCCGGTTCTCTAAATTATCGTTGTATGGGATGTGGGCGTGGTAATTTTCCGATTTTCATTATTTTTTACCATTTGGTATGTTTTAACAGGACCAAAAATTTTACCAAGTTTCGGAGAAATTGGTGAAAAGCTGACCGAGATATACATATATAATCATAAGTGGGCGGGGCTAAGCCCATTTTCCAAAAATTTCATAATATTCTTATTTTCCGGCTAAATATTACTGCAAATATTCAGGGCTATCACAGAATCCGTCGTAGCTTAATTTTTTGTGAAACCTACGAAAGTGCTATCACAGAACGCGAATGGCTACGAACGTAAATTCGAAATTCGTGAAGAGCCTTCATTGAATCCGTTCGTAATGAAGATTCGTACAGATACTCTATAACGAGTTTATGCTGTCGGACCATACTGGAAAGTCAACGTAAAACTAGCAAAGCTGTTCCAAAAACACAACCTTCGCACATCATTCAGTACAAATAACAACGTAGGACGGATACTACGGAACACCACAAATCAAGAAGACCCATTGGATAAACAAGGAGTGTATAAACTAACTTGCAAATGCCAGCATAGTTATATAGGTCAAACAGGACGGAAAATAAAAACAAGATTTCGCGAACATATAAGGGACTATAACAGAAACCGAGTGCAATACCAGAGTCAAATTTTGCTAACCATATATTTAACAACAAATGTTCACCAACGCAAATAAGAAAGTCAGCGAAACTACTGCATGTACAACATAAAGGCCAACGACTAAACGTACTAGAAAATATGGAAATATACAAACTAAAAACCTTCGACGGCAAAATAATAAACGCACAAACAAATACCACATCGGATGTTATATTCGAACCCTTAAAATTAAAATTAATTTACGAGAAAAAGAAAAATGACAACAAAACAACAGGCATGGACACTCCGAACACACCACAAAGTACCACCACGACAAAAATCACCGACTTTTACCTAACTGCAGGCAAAAACTATACAGAGACTACATAACGGATGTTAATATTGCGACAGCGAACCTACCAACCTATTACATACCTGCTTCTGAAATAAAAAAGGGCAACATGGCATTTCTAATAATTAACCATCGACGAAAATCACATTACCTAAGATAAATGAACATAAATTAAGGACAAAAGCTCGAACCAGACAGAACGAAAAATTACACTGAAAATGGCACAATGCCGAAACCGGTTTGTCTGCAAACCAAACTTGACAAGGGATGACGGAAATTCGTTCCAAAATAAATCATTCGTACAGATACTCTACAACGAGTTTATACTGTCGGAGCAAAATTTAAAATCACTTCATCTTAAAAATAATGGAAAAAAGCTGCATTATTGTTAATAATAAATAGTTATTATAATCCAAATTTGTTATGAGTCAAGTTTTCTCACCCAAAGTTGACTTTTTGATTTTTTATATTTCATTGACATTGATTTTGAAAGTTAACATGGTGTGCAATATTGACACCAAAGATTTTGCATTAAACATTAAACATTTTTCTACATTTAATTTGAAATAGTATGCACGAACGGATTAAAAGTGGTAAATAATTAGTACTTTTTCTACTACTTTAAATGCGTGACCGGAATAGACCTGCCGAAAAAGTGAGGTTAAGTTACTGACAACACCTTGTTATTATTACACCATGAGTCAAAATTATAGAAGGCATGTATACTACTCCCTTTCATTTTTTCATACAGTTATGCTTCTTTTTGGCTTTTACAAAATGCAGGGATACCGCACTTATTTCGGTACAATATGATCGCAATATATTTTCAATTCGAAATCAAAGAAAAACATCCCACGAAAATGTTTGCGATTTTAGAACCATTAGTGAATATTTGCAAACTACTGCAAATAATAGTGCCATATCTTACAAGGTTCAGAGAATTAACGAAACAAACCAGCATTTTATGGCTTCATGTTTCCCTCAAACCGCATTGCTATTTTTTCTAACTGTTCCTTTTGTTTAGCGCTATAACCTATTAAGTTATATCTTTTAAATTATACATGTGAACTATTTTCAATGAGCATTTTTTCATGTGCTCCAGAATTTTGGGTACATTTTCTTATAGTACCTCTCATTCTTTTTTATATTACATATATACACTCCGAAATTCGGGATAGTATTTTTAATATACCAGCAATATATGTAAAAGGAATGGCGGCTGCTGTAGAGCATTACGTAGAGCCTGAGTTCAAGCCCAGTTTTTTCTAATAGTGGTTGCCCCTCTGTTGGTAATAGTAAACCTCCGATTGTATTCTGTCATGGAAACAACTTCACATTAAAATACAATTGCCGTTCGGAGTCGGCGTAAAACTGTCCTTTACTTTGTGTGACAAAATCACGCACGCCGCATATCGGAGGAGAAGCTAGGCCAAACACTAACATATTGTTCAAGCGCCAATATGTATATTGTCGTTTAAAATTCAAAAGCGCGTATCGTGGTTCTGCAAAACCTCGGAACTGAAATTTGTGCCAAAAAAAGATATTTGGTCATCGGAAGCTCCTGACATCAAGCCCTTAGCCATTTATAATAAAATATCCATACTTAGACATAAGGAGAGAAGATTATTAAGTTTAAAAGAGAGAACCGTTTTTAATTAGGACAAGTTTCACTCTCTCCTATAAAATTTAGGCAACCTCACATACGAGGTTTTGCATTTCCTTGATGTGCGGTTTTGTACTTTAAACGAAGATATGTAGAAGTATTGCATACATATTTTGGTGCCTTTTCAAGTATAAAATCCACTGAGAAACGGAAGAAAACGGCATCCCTATGATTTCAACTTATGCCAAACGTTTCGTAAACAAGCAATTCTGAACAAAAAACTGGTTTTCCACAAAGATGTTTAAATGGAAGCATTACAAATATGGAAAAATAGCAATCCACAAGGCTTTATTATTATAGTAGGTCCTTTTTAAAGCACATTTAACAAAAAAAATAAGCTTCTAGTTTCGAAGCTAGCACAAAATACATTTTTATACCCGAGCGCACTTGTGCACAAGGGTATTATAACTTTGTTCACATAACGGTTGTTTGTAACAGGCAAAACGAATCGAGATAGATATAGACAAATGTATACATAAATGATCAGGATGAAAAGAGAAATCGATTAAGCGGTGACGGTCTGTCCGTCCGTCCGTCCGTCCGTCCGTCTGTCCGTCCGTCTGTGCACACGATAACTCGAGTAAAAATTAAGATATCTTAACAAAACTTGGTACGTGTACTTCTTTCGGGCGTAGGACGGATGGTATTGAAAATGGGCAAAATCGGACAATAACCACGCCTACCTTCCATATAACGGTAATTTTCAGAAATACGAAAACTGCGATATTTTAGTAACTACTGAAGATTATTCACTCAAAATTGATATTTATAATAATTTTGAGACGAAAAATAATAAAATTATAAATTTTTGAAAAATGGGCGTAGCCACGCCCACTTATGGTTACATGTGTATATCTTGGCAACCGCTGCACCGATTTCTTCCAAACTTGGCACAGTTATTGGCCTTCGTACAGGATACCAAATGGCCAAAAATTTTTAAAATCGGACAATAACCACGCCCACATCTCATATAACGGTAATTTGGAGAAATACGAAATCTTCGATAAATCAGTAAATATTAAAGCCAATTTATTTCAAATTGATGCTTGCAACAATTCCTTACCAGGAAATACGTCTATAATAAAATTTTGAAAAATGGGCGTGGCACCGCCCACTTATGATCACATATATGTATCTCGGTAACCGTTCTACCAATTTGTACCAAACTCGGTATTTTTATTGTTCTTGCTACATAAAAGCAAAACGATGAAAATTATTGAAATCGGAATAAAATTATGGCTTTTCATATAACGGTAAATTTTAGAAATGCTTGAAACGTCAATATTTCGAAATTTAAGGACGCTAATTTACTCAAAATTGATACCCTCCGGCTTACCATGTAGCGGTAGCTTTCGGAAAGGTGAAAATCATATATTTAATATTTGCGCCGGGTATTTAATGTTCGGCTCCGCCCGAACTTAAACTTTCTTACTTTTTTTTAGTTGTTGTTTACAAAAAAAATATTGTCAAGTATACAAGTCAAAATTGTTAAATATATATCGCTTTCATTCATTTCTTCATAGAGTTGGTGCTTCTTTTATAGGAAAATTCATACGGCTTACGAACAGATTCATACCATGTAAATGCACCATAAGTTGCTTTATGATTAATCAACATTTCGAGTAAAATGAGTAATCAACATTTCAACTCTTTACATATGTATAAAGTAGTTGAAGTTCCTTGGTACTTTGAAAACAACGTTTCTGTTTTCCAAAATTGTATGAATGTAAAAAAGAAAATAAGCATTTTCCAAAGCAAACTCTTTTAACGAGCAAAATTATTTTTTTTGAGTAATCATATTTCAAGTAACTCGATTAATCATCGTTTTGAGTAATCAAAATCTTGATTACTCGAGTAATTGATTAACCGAATAATTGATTAACCAACTTGCTCGAGTAATCGAATAATCGCATAGCCCTACTATCTACACATATCAGTGCCATACCTATCAGTGTCAGTGAAAAATATAATATCGTTGTCCCAGTCCCAAATAGAGTTGCTCAGACCGTCCGGCACAGTGCCATTTTTACTGTCAGTGCTGCTTCAGTGTTCGTTCCGAAATTTTGTTATACACTCTAAAAACTGCTTGTTAAACTGCTACTGAAAAGTGTTTATTTCCAAACAAAATTTGTGTAAGTATACGCATAAGATGTTCAAGACTGGATTTTTGAACATGAGATGTTTAAAATATACACATGAAATGTTTAAACTTGCAAACGTTTTTAACGCAATAATACATTCCCTACTAAGAATAAAAATTATGTACATTTTGTGTGTAATTTTTCTCTACGCGACAAATTTGGTATGCAAAAGTAAACAAGCAGTGTTTAATTTTATTAACACAGTGTCTAAATTTGCGCACATTAGGAGAATAAACTGGTAACCTCTCTTAATATGCGTTACTTTAAACAAAAAACTTTTAGAGCAAATTTTAAATATTTTATGTGTAAACTGTGTAATTGGGAACACTAAGAAAAATCTATAGAAATTTTTGTAGTCTAGTTTAACTAATGATTTAACTATACTTTAAAATAGTTAAATTAACGGCCCTAAGGGACAAATTCACAGTGCTGTACTGAAAACCTGTAGTTAACTGTCGATTCTGAGTTAACTACGTACTGTGAATTTGGCCTTAAGTGTTTAGAATTCAACAAACAAATTTCAAATTTGTTCTACTCCACACATATGGAAGTAAAAGTTAAAAAGCAGTATTTAAATTGATTAACACGGTGTGCAAATGAAAGGAAACTGGTTACCTTTTTTAATATGCTTAAATTTAAACAAAAATTTTTTAGAGTGTAGTTCACTCGGCAAAAATTTGTTTCCTCACTGACGAGCTGACGGTATTCTATTGCAAGTTTTGTTTGATATGGAGGGAAAATTAATCGAGTTGGTCCGGAATTATCCAGAACTATACAATTTGATTGATCATTAGTAAAACAAGTCATCTTGGTTTCAATGAACTTCATTTTACTGCAAGTACCGGACGACATAACTACTACGGATGTGTGTGAATTGGTATCACTGATCGATGCTGATTGGCTGAACTGAACTGATACGGCACTGATTTGTGAAGATAGATCTTAACTCTTATTATTATTGCCAATAGATTACAACACATTATATGTACTACCCTGCCCACCTTTTGCTCATACACTTCACAATTTTAGTTCATACAATCTTGAAGTAGAAATATTTCCAAGTGTATGACCTATAGGTGGGCATGGGAGTACATACATATGTACTAGGGTTACAATGGCCGGACAGATGAATTATGGATACTAATAAATGCAAAATTCTTCCCCTGAAGAGGTTTTCCCATTAGAGTTTCAATACGGTTTCTCCTTAACTTTGATGCAAAATTACTCACGAGGTGTCGCGAAGCACGCCGGGTATTTGCTATATTGGATAAAGCCTTGAAGATGGTGCTGTATATCGTAGAAACTCGAAATGGCTTCGCAAACGTGCTGATTAAGTTCTTTTTTTTTTAATACTCTCATTTATTTGAAAATATTCACTAAGCTAAATACATACATACATAAATATCTATGTACACATATACGAATCTGTCTCTTTGGTACCTAATTCCGTATTTACTAATGTAGGGAGGCGATTAAAGGGGAATATGTTGTATAACAGTTTATATAGAGAGCAATCTCTAAACTCTTTACATCTCCCACTAAGAAATTTATTGTATATGTTATTAAATATGAAATAAAGAGCAGTTGCAATCCGTATGAGAATAAGACAAAACCAACGTGTTCACATTATATAGGAGTGCAAAATTAAAAAAAAAAGTAATAATTTTTGAATATTTAATTAAAAATATCCTTGCCAGCATTTTTTAGCCAACCCATGCGAAATATTTACTAAGACGTTAAATTTCATATCAAATAGATTTCACCCATTAAACATGTAGGTGAAGGTCTATTCGCATCTTTGACTATAATTGGTATACAAAAAAAAAACGGTTGAAATGATACATGCATATCTTCGCCAATTTTGAATTATTCTCTATCATTAAACTTGCGATATGTTCATATACCGTCTGTGGACATTTTTAACGCAACTAGTTCTCTTTCCAAGAGCATGTATGTATGTACTATGTTTTTATAATGTCCATTTTTACATAGTTACCTTTTCGGGTTGGCCTTCTCCTTGGGATGTTTTAACATCATATAACGCGCTATATTAACAGGATATCTTGATATGAACAAATTGGCATGTTTTAATCTATAAAGAAAAATATTTAGTACAAATAAGTTAATAGTGAAAATAAATATTTTTAGAGCAAACTTTCTAAAAATAAACGAAAATGGACCATAAATACTGGTTTACCAAATATATAGACCCTTGCGCCACCTATTGGCAGAATTTTTTAGTGGAGTTATTCATTTTCATGTATTTAATATACGTTCTAAATATGAACCAAATCGGACTAGTATAAGTATGGGTTTTTCAAATATCTCGACTCCTGCGCCACCTATCGGATTAACTAAATTTTCATATTGCATTGTTATCGGGTTTTGAGCCAACTGTGAAGTCTCAAGTCTCTACGTTATCGGGAAGTTGATTAAAAATTGATTGCAAGATTTGCCCCTAACAAACATACTTACATACATATGTACATACATACAGCGTAAGTTAAATAAAATCACTTTACGACGTTTAAACAAAAACGAAATGTCTTATATGAAAGTGTGTACACCTTAGTTATGTTAATACATTATATACTAGTGAACCCACACGGCGTTAAAACGCCCAAGATAGAATTTTAATGTATAAGCGATTCGAGTGTCATATTTCTTCTAAATTCGTGCAGCCGTTTCGCATAGTAGGTTTTTAATATTATCAAATTTTAAATGTATAAAAAGTTTCTAATTTTAAAAAAGGCAAGGTCTTTATTTTCCTGGTTATACAATTTATTTTCGAGTAAATTTGTACAATGTTTAATTGACTTCGAAGCGAATTTGGTTTAAATTCACTCGGAAGTGAATTGCAAAACCTACCTGAAAGTCTTTTCAAACCCTTTTCGATTGATATCCATCCTTTAAAAATTCAATTAACAACAATTAAATAATTTGAATGCAGCCTACAGAATACGTGGCAACCCTCCTTAATATATTTCAGAAATAAAGCCTTTTCAACCCCATTACGATTGACACCCATATTTTAATAGTTCATTTGTCTCCAGATCGAAAAACGAGAAACCAAATTGATCATGTTGTGATAGACGGAAGGCATGCTTCAAGCATTTTCGACGTACGTACCCCCGACTCGGACCACTATCTTATTGTAGCCAAGATTCGCACCCGCCTCTGTGCAGCAAAAATGTGCGCCCAACAATGCAAGGAAAGCTTAACGTCGAAAAGCTGCAATCACAACAGACGGCCAATTTATTCGCCCCACTCGACTCACACACCTGCTCTCTGAGAGCACTCTTCAACAATCCGACATACGCGAGCAGTGGAACCACATTTCCCGATTATTAAGTACCGCCGCCGAAGAAATAGCTGGATTTCAGCGAGCCCGAAAGAACAACTGGTACGATGAGGAATGTCAAGAAACCGCAGAGAAAAAAGACGCCGCCTATAGGGCCACGCTGCGATCGGGCGCAACGCGAGCCATGTGGGACTGTTAGGAATCTGAAGAAGGAAGCGAGACGTATTTGCCGCAATAAAAAAAGAGAGGCCGAAGTACGTGAGTGCGAAGAGCTTGAGATGCTGGCCAACAGGAAAAACGCCCGAAAATTCTACCAGAGGATTAGGCGACTTACGGAAGGTTTCAAGACCAGGGCGAACTCCTGTAAGAACAACAATGGCGACCTGGTGACAGATCTCCAGAATGTACTTAAATTGTGGAGGGAACACTTTTGCAATCTACTGTAGTAGTGAAGAAGACGAGCCCGAGTCTCCAGTCGATGATGATGGAGTAACTGTCTCACCGCCTGACCATGGCGAGGTACGATTACGCGGCTGAAAAACAACAAACCTGCTGGAGCTCACGGCTTGCCAGCCTAGCTATTCAGGTACGGTGGCGAGGAGCTGATGAGGTGCACGCATCAGCTCGTATGCAGAATATGGTCAGATGAACGCATGTCCGACGACTGGAATGCTGCTCTGGCCAATCCACAAGAAAGGCGATCCCGCCATTCGTGCCAATTACCGTGGAATCAGCCTTCTAAGCATCGGTTATAAGGTCTAATTGAGTGTTTGTGCGAAAGACTGAAGACCACCGTCAACGAACTGATTGGACCTTATCAGTATGGCTTTAGGCCTGGCAAATCCACCATAGATCAGGTATTCACCATACGCCAAATCTATCGCTATAGGATCGACACACACCATCTATTTGTCATCATCAAAGCCGTTTTCGACAGTACGAAGAGAAGTTGTCTTTATGCCGCGATGTCTGAATTTGGTCTCCCCCCCGAAACTAATACGGCTGTGTAAAATGACGTTGAGTAATGCCACCAGCTCCAACAGAATAGGGAAGGACCTCTCCGAGACGTTTGATACCAGACGAGGTTTCAGACAAGGGGACTCCTTTTAATGTGAATTCTTTAATCTGATGTTTAAGAGCCGCAGAACTGCACCACTAAAGCACCAAACTTTACAAGAGCGTAAAATTCTTGGCGTATGCCGACGACATCGATATTATCGGTAAAAACAAGAGTTACGTCTGTTCTGCCTTCTCGGTATTGAATAGAGGAGCAAAGCGAATGGCTCTGGTGGTGAAAGAGGACAAAACGAAGTATCTCCTGTCATCCCACAAACCGTCAGAGCATACGCGTCTTGGCACGTCTCTGTTGACAGTTGGGAGGTTCCATGGGAAAGTGGACCTCAGTGCAAAAATTATTTTCTTTATAAAACTAACAAACGTGTGGATAAGACATTTGTAAGAATCTTGAATCAACCAAAAAAATAACAAATTAAAGCTTTAAATGCATTTTAATTACCTTTTTTACGTTTTGAAATCAAGTTCTAAGTAAATTTTTTGATTGAGTTTAAAGTAGGTTGTGTTGAATGCACTGTGAAATAATGTGTAATTCATAATTCAAGTGTTTTAATAAAATTATGTTACATATCAAATTGTGTGACTGCTTTATTTATATTATGAGTTATTATTCAGCCTTATTGGTCTTGTCCCACCGGTGACAAAAAATCTAAAAGTTGTTATATTTAATTACAGAAGTTAAGGTTGTATTTCGTGTTTGTTACATAATGTTCGAAATTCATTGCAAATATTTACCACAATTGCATTGCCGTTTCCACGTAGTTAGATAAGAATAATTTAACAGAGAAGCATGTTCCACCCGTGACAGCTATGTGTGGGACAGGTGTCAGAGGTAGGTTTACAGGGCCGATAAGCTTTATTCTGAGGTGAACGCAGGGGAGGAGGGGGATGCGTGGACTCGTCCATTATCTATATACCATTGTGGTCAGCTGATTAAGTTAAGTTACATTTTGACCAGTTTTGGTTTTTATTTTGTTAATCTAATGTTTATAGTCTTTTTTTTATATAAGTCTTTACATTACCTAACCAGAACCACATAAATCCACATTTCAAACTTCTTACAAAAATTATAAAAATTCAAGAAACCTTAACAATTACACCCAAAAATTGTAACCTTTTTGTTCAGAATTTTTAGGTATGCAGTTTTGTAGTCCATTAAATAAAAAAAAAAATAAAAATTCAAGACGCTAGGAAATCGCGTTCATTTTTAATAATTTTTTTGGCTGACGGTGCTAAGCATTTTCTTCTATATAAAAGGCACCATCCTAAGATAAAACGTGAGTGAATTTAACCCCTACATGGCTTCTTATATTTTTTGATAACTAATCTTTATATATGGACACCACTAAAAGCTCCTTTTCATATAAAAATTCGTACGTGGCCTACCCGTAACAAACGTTGTCCCACCCGTTTCATAAGTAAAGTAACTCTTCTTCTCTCCGTTTTTCCTGGCAGGCTGTAGGTGTGTATTTGGCAGGCTGTAGGTGTGCTTTGGTTAGTGTATTGGTGCTTTTTGGTTCAATGTGTTAGTGTATTTTGAATAAATTGTAATAGAAATGGAAGAAATTATAATATAAATGAAAGAAATTGTAAAAGATAAGAGCAAATGCCAAAAAACAGGTGATCTCAGCTGTAGGCATTTTTTGGCAATCAGCTGATAGTGTTTTCACTTAGGAAACTGTACACACACACAGACAGAGGAAATTCGGATTTTTTGTATAATAAAGCCATAATTCTTTTTTAGTTTTTGCTTTGTTTGTTTTCCTGGTGCTTTGTTTTACTATAAGAGATCAAGTTCACACAGAAAAGTGAAATAAATTCCCAGAGTTTCCGTAAAATATATCTGCTCCATAAAGCAGGTTATTTTTTTGTCCAACCCGTGACGGAAGAAATAAATCAGACTTTTTCCATATAAACGTAAGCTGGAATTATTTTCATATTTTATAATAACTCATATAATAGTCAATTAGGTGTAGCTTTATAAAAGTTCCCACTTCTACTTGACCTATGACGTACGTCAAAGAGAACATAGTCCTTTTAATATTTTTTTTCTGTACTTTAAATACCTGCTTTCGTTTCTTTACTATGATTTTTTGGACCAATCTTAAAAAAAACTATTAGACACAAAAGAAGAAAGTGTGCACTGTAATTCTTAACAAAATTGTCGTGATTTGCTTTTGATCAAGGCGAATTTAGCGAATAAGGTGATAGCAGGAGTGCAAAAACAAAAACTTACATGTATTTTGTTTTTTGCTTTGTTGCTTGCTTTGCAAGAGTGTGTGTGGAAATTCAAACAAAATTTTTCAATTTGACATAACAAGCCGTGAGGCGAAACACAGACACAAAATCAGCTGATCTAGTAACACCACCTTATATAAATTCGCCTTGCTTTTGATGTTACATATATTCGATCGAATAATTTCAAATGGGGCTCTTTGGGAAATTTATTTTTAGCAAAAATTTTAAAAACAGTAGTTTTGTTTACTTGTTGGGTAATATTTTTTTCATAGGGATATACATTGGATCCTTGGCTAAAAACTTCTGTGTTATAACTGTTCCTTCTTTGCTATTTAAAGTCAATGAGTATGTTCCTTCAATAGAGATTTCCAGTAGAAATGATCAACGTCTATAAAGAGAATCGATGCTAAAATAATTAAAAGGCTATAGGTCTGACCTTTTGTTCAAAATTAATAATCCATATCCACATATTTAGCTCGCTATAAGCACAAATTTTTCAAAGCA